GCTCTCGCGTCCGCTGCAAGTGGATTGTTAGTTCTAGACACCGTTATTCCAAGTAACTTGTTGCCCGGACCGAGCAGGAAGCGGTATTTTTCTGAGCATATTCACTGTTCACGTGCGGGTCTGTATTTTGAAATGAGTTCCGGGCTACGTATATGTGCCACACGTGGAAGTGTTCAATTTGCTATACCGTCATCACCATCATTATCTTTCTTCCTTTCGCCCTCTCTCTAATTTGTCGAGCAAGAAAGATGTAATTTTTCGATAATGCTAGCATATCCCGCACTGCACCAAGCGCACGATATCATACTCCACCAACGTTTACATTTCGCATACAAATACAGCAAAATTCAGGCTCCAGTACTGCTAGCATCTTCGTATCCCTCTACTCGGACGGAATAGTAAGCTACATTTCGAAGTGAATATTTCTGATTATGAATGATTGCAAGAGCATAAAGTAAATATCTGTGTACATCTATATTTCACTGAAGGGAAACTTCACTGCTTCCGTGTGAATACGAGCATCAGCGTAAAGGACACTCAGTAAAGCCAACGCGAGCACAAATCGTATCAACATAGCACTAAACATTTGCAGGAAACTGCAAAAACGCATAATGGCACTGGCTAGCCTAGTGTTTTCCGGCCTTTTTTTCAACTAATTTACAAACCTTAAAAGTTTGTTGTATTTCTGTCACATTTTGTTGCGTCTCCGTCGATTGGACTTCGTGCGATATTCTGACTGTGATGGAAACATTATGGATATCGCTTTTGAGCAGTCGGGTCTCGTTGGTCGCGCCGAGTGGCATTAGATATATCGATGAGCTACCATCATTCAACGGCGCTGGCAATGAAAATGCATAGTAGTCTCCTGCCATACCAACCGGGAGCACTATAAATAGTTTTTTTTTTTTAATTCCAAGCTTATCATGACAAAAATGCAGTAGCCAGTTACACATACTGCACACAGTAAGAACAACGTGATAGTATTACTGTCGTAGTGTTGTTACTCTCTTGAGAATAAATAACTGGCTAACCCATCGACTACCGGTGCGAAAATGCGTTTTTTGCATAGTTCCCTGCAGGTTTTTGTTTCTAACCGCTCCATTTTTTCCGGCCGATGCTTCTAGCTAAGCAAACTGAAACTGGCCGTCAGGACTGTCGGGAAACACCTTACTAAAATTTTAGCTTGCTAGCTTTCCTGCTTCCCGGGTTAGCAAATTATCCACCAAAAATTTTCACTGGCCGGTACGGGAGAACCACGCATACCTGGGGGCTGATTTGAACTTTCTAAAAATATATACTTTTTGAACTTTCTAAAAGTAAATATTTTCTTAAAATTCCAGTCTTTTAATTTTTCAGATTCCTGAGTTAGTAACTTACGCATGAGA